TCTTGAAATATATATATATATATTATTTGGTTATTTGGTTTTATTCCAAAATCACTAACTTGTAAGATTGTACTGGATATAATATAAAAAAACTTGTAGCAATTGCATTCACTGATCCTTGAAGAAATATATATATATATATATATTGTTTATTTGGTTTTATTCCAAAATCACTAACTTGTAAGATTGTACTGGATATAATATAAAAAAACTTGTAGCAATTGCATTCAGTCATTAACTGATCCTTGACTGATAAGAATCTGAACAAGTTTATTTTTATATTTTTTCAATTGAATGCAAATTTTCTTATTGAGAGTAGTGTACTATAAGTATTATGTTACATCAATGCTCAAAGATTTGTTCTAAAAAGTTTTACTTTAATTATATATTTTAACTAAGAAAATTCAACTTCCTAATAAAAAAGCTGTATTTGAATTCTTTTTATTTATAATAAATTATTTCAGTATCTTCCTCCGTATTCATCGCAGGAGCAAAAGTTTTTCAAACTATATAAACAACAATCTGGGGAATTTATAAACCAAGATAAGCTGAACATAAATTCTAAGAAATATAAGCTTCAAGATAGCACAAACGTTCTTGAAAAATAGCATTTGTCTACTAAGATGGATTCCACAGAGCTCATAGAAGGAAGTTTGCCAGATCGTATTACAAAGAGAGACCGTGAAAGAAAAAATATTATTGAAAAACGAAGAGAAGAACGGCAATCACTTGTCGTAGAATCCGAACAGAGCAATTATTTTAAGGACACATTTTATCCCTCTTGCAAAAAAATTAAAGATATGCTGGATGATGCGCCCAGTAGATCGTCCTCAGCTTTGCCAGGAATTTTCGAGAAATCCAATAAAGAAATCCAATTGCTTAAGAACTACTTATTGCAATCTAAAATATTTCTGAAAGTTTATGATATAAGACGTGCACAAGAAAACTTGCAGATGTTAGAGAATGAAGCTTCCGAATTAGAAATGAAACTTTTGCCTAAGAAAAAATTTGGATTTAAGAATCGTAGAATCGTAAAGAAGCCTTCTGACAAGGGACATGATATCACGGATGGCTTAAAAGATGTGAAAATAGCTGAGAGCATCGTAAACGGTTCGTCGAAGCAAAACAATAAATTGTCAAGCAAGTACGGGGATAACGCTTGTATGCTTCTGGGCAAAGTTAACGAGCAACTGGTATTGGACGTTGAGAATGTAAATAAAAATGACATTCTACTTTCCGATCTGATTCAGTGTACTGTACGAATATATGGTACACCTAGTACATTGCATATGGTAAACCTAAAACAATGCACTATATTAGTAGGACCAGTGACATCATCTGTGTTTGCACACGACTGTAATGAATGCATATTTGCTTTTGCATGTCAACAATTGCGATTACATTCGTCAACAGATTGTACCATTTATTTGCATGTGACAAGTAGGGCAATTATAGAAGATTGTACAAAGATATATGTAGCACCTTACAACTGGTCTTATGAAGATCAGACGAGCCATTTTAATCTAGCCGGCCTCGATCCAAAGATTAACAATTGGAACTGTATAGACGATTTCAATTGGCTATCCAGTGAAAAACATTCACCAAATTGGTCCATTCTTGAACCAGATCTTCGAGTGAAAACGTGGGATTAAATAAACTTTTGTGAGAAAAGAAGAAAAAAGAACGCTTAAAATTATCTGTTGTAATTGAAACATTTTTAAGAACTTACTTAGTTTTTTTCTAAATGTCCAAATATTGCTTTATCTACATAAATAAATTATAAATAATTACGTATGTGTGTGTATATTATGCACATACTATACTTTTTCACAGGATAAAAGTTATGTGTTTTATATATTTACAATGTAATACATTTAATCTTTGTGCAATATATGCGATATACGCAATTATATTTTATAATGTACAATGGCCAAATCCTCAGGAATACCAAGATTTTCTGTTACTTCGGGATCGCTCCACAATTTTCTATTCTTTTTCTTTGTTAAATAATTTTTTTTTCATGTCCTTTTCAAATTAATGAGTAAAATTTTTCCTAAATGCAAAGATTGAACAGACATGTGCAATTGAGCCTTAGATAGGTGTGGGGTACTACAGTACAATAATTTTCAAATTTTTATTGCGAATAAAGTAAATTTTTGTGAACGATGTTTACTGTACTTTGCAAAATAATCTACTAATTTAATCAAGTACATAATACGTACTTTCTTCTGCTACTACAGGATTTTTCGCAGTAGTTGATTAAAGTTTCGTGGGATACCCCACACAAGTTATGTGTAATTAAATGTATTTGAGCACAATATAAAAAAAATAAATAGTAATAAATAAAATCATGGTAAGTATCAAAATATTATTCAATAAATTATATAAACGAACTTTTTGATCAAACGAAATACCATGAGTTCCACTTTCTTCATTATAAATTTATATATATACTTAGAAAACCAAGTCTGCTAAGATCATGTATTGCAAATTATGCGCTACATATTACGTCGGCAGAACTCCGGCATTAGCCATGCAAGATCTGCCGTCTCAGTTAATGCCAGCGGTAAATATATAAGCAGTCTTTTTGTCATATGCCGTAAAAAACTGCAAAATTTAAGCAGAAGTCCTTGATGTAAAAACAATAGATTTTAAACCATAGACATAGTATATCTAGACCGAGTGTTGAGGAGTGGGAGCCGAGGCGCACGTAGAAAAGGACATACTCTGTTTCGTGCCCCATGCGTTCTCTCTCGCTCGCACGTAGCATGACGAAAGAAAGCGCTATGCTATGTGCGAGCGAGAGAGAACGCAAGGGGCACGAAACAGAGTATGTTCTTCTCTACGTGCACCTCGGCTCCCACTCCTCACCGGGCACGGTTCATCTAAAAAAAATGTTGGCATCAATCTACAACTTAGGGCCAATTTCACCAAGTCCGGTTAGATTAACCGACGGTTAAAATTAGCAGGGTTCCAACTGAAATGATAAGAATGCTTGGTTTTCCTTCACCTCTATTTTCTGTTGGCCACCCTGCTAATTTTAACCGTCGGTTAATCTAACCGAGGTTGGTGAAATTGGCCCTAAATGGCTGATTAGGCTTCGTCATGAATTAGCTTATACGCCAGGGTATCGATCATAGACATAGTATATCTAGACCGAGTGTTGAGGAGTGGGAGCCGAGGTGCACGTAGACGTAGAAAAGGACATACTCTGTTCCGTGCCCCTTGCGTTCTCTCTCGCTCGCACGTAGCATGACGAAAGAGAGCGCTATGCTCTGTGCGAGCGAGAGAGAACGCAAGGGGCACGAAACAGAGTATGTCCTTTTCTACGTGCATCTTTACCCCCACTCCTTAAATAAAGGCAAACGCTCGATCTAGATATACTATGTCTATGTTTTAAACATTATGTGTTCTTCTTTTTCTATCTAAGGGCCAATTTCACCAAGCTCGGTTAGATTAACCAACGGTTAAAATTAGCAGGGTTCCGGTTAAAATTAGCAGGGTTCCAACTGAAATGATAAGAAATGCTTGGTTTTCCTTCAACTCTATTTTCTGTTGGCCACCCTGCTAATTTTAACCGTCGGTTAATCTAACCGAGGTTGGTGAAATTGGCCCTAAATGGCTGATTAGGCTTCGTCATGAATTAGCTTATACGCCAGGGTATCGATCATAGACATAGTATATCTAGACCGAGTGTTGAGGAGTGGGAGCCGAGGTGCACGTAGAGAAGAACATACTCTGTTTCGTGCCCCTTGCGTTCTCTCTCGCTTAGCCGTATTAGCATCTTAAGACATTACTTAAGACGGTCTTGAAATAAGAACTGACTATGAATACCGGCCTATGTCTATGGTATCGATCATGTAACTTTTCCCGAAAAGTAGAAAAGTAAAAAGTGAAAAATTTTGCCATTGGCCGCGTTCAGCAGAGAAAGCGCTCAGTTATCGTCTTGTCAACACTCGACGTTGATTCGTTGGTTCTAAAAGTAAGAACCAATCACGTTCCATTGCTACTCAACGGTTGTGTCTCCTGAACGCACCCATTGATTTCAATTCTAATATTTTTCACGTTTCCGCCCTAGGGAAAAGTTACATGATCGGTACCAGAGAGAAGAACATAGACATAGTATATCTAGACCGAGTGTTGAGGAGTGGGAGCCGAGGTGCACGTAGAAAAGGACATACTCTGTTTCTCTCTCGCTCGCACGTAGCATGACGAAAGAGAGCGCTATGCTCTGTGCGAGCGAGAGAGAACGCAAGGGGCACGAAACAGAGTATGTCCTTTTCTACGTGTATCTTTACCCCCACTCCTTAAATAAAGGCAAATGCTCGGTCTAGATATACTATGTCTATGGAGAAGAATGAGAGTTGCCACGCTGCCGTTTTTCGTGAGACGCTTTTTCTAGGTCGTAAGCAGTAATGCAACAAGGCTAATAAGCGCCCACTTTATAAGAATTTCATACTTGCGTATATACATATGTAGATATACATGTTTAAATTATAGTTAAAATTGTATCTGCAATTAAATATTGTATGATGATCAATAATACTAGGATAATAGATAACAAAGTGAATAAATACAAAATACGTCAGACGGATGCTTGCTAGACTTGATGATTTGTTGCTTTGTTACTATCGATACTCCGTCCCAGACAGCACAAGGATGTCCTTAGGACGTCCAAAGGGCATCCAGGACATACATGTAGGATATCCTGAGGACATCCCATTTTAATTCTCGGATCCCCTCTGGATGTCCTGAGGAAGAGTAAAAGATAGCCGAATACTAGCCTCTGGAAAATCCAGGGAGATCTTGTAGAATATCCTAAGGATTTCTATGGGATATGTTAGGGATATTTTTCGTTCGTTTCAGGGAGCAAATTCTGAAAATTGCGTCCTGTTACTTATTGCCAGTACTGAAAATGTAATACTGGAAATAGTTTACGTTCTTTAATATTTGAGACTTTCGTAGTCTACATGAATATTAGGTTTGGCTTTCGGGTTTGAGTCATGTAATATTTTCTAAACAATCTAATATCTGAATTCCCTATGTTAAGATTGCATCAGAAATTGAACTGAAAGAAAAGAATTACATTTTTAATTTCCTGCCAGTTGCTCTTTGCAAGCTTTATATAATTCTCATGACCAAATCTCAAATACTAAGGTTATATAAAGGAAGGTTAAGTCAGGAGCATCCCGTAACCCATAATGCATTACAAAGAATCCACGTGTACGCAATCATTATTGAAAAGAGATGCTAAATATTGAAAAGAAATGCCAAATAAGGTATACTTGTTGGCTCTCGCGGCCTTTCGCAATGCATCATGGGTTCTTGGATGACATATACAGTTTCAATATATGACTTAACCTTTCTTTATATAACCTTATCAAATACGAGATCGCGCGTCGCATAGCGGTGTGACGTCCCGTCATTTTTCAAAACCATATTTCAACTAATAATTAAGTACCGCATCTATTTTTCTTCAACTATTTCTCTAACTCTTATTATTTAAAGCATTACTTTACTATTGAATCACACAAGAATATTTGCGCATGCGTATATTCCTATATCTAACACCCAGTAAAATCACTCTAGTAAAAGATTAGTTCTGTGCCTAACGTCATTCCCCTAGAATCCACCAGATCAGTCCTAGCTGTCGGCGTCCCTGGGGTATAGCCGGTGGAAGCAGGTTGCCCTATAAAAAATAGAGAGCTATCCTTTTCTCACTAACTGAGGTATAGTAAGAAAAGCGCATTATCGAGACGTAACAGCGGTAAACAAACGAACTAACGGATGAATACTATTTTTTGTAACGTTTTTGACTAGGCATGTGCCGGATATCCGGCAAGTATCCGGAATTCGGCCTATCCTGCCCTTTTATTAACATCCGGCCGGATAGCCGGATGTCATTAGTATCCGGCAATATATCCGGCCGAAATTTTATATTGAATGTTTCAAAGTTTGCGCCATTGATACAGAATTCGAGATCCAGAGTCCTCTAGAAACAAATAAACTTATCATTTTTGGTTCGTGCCTCATGCTTATGCTAACCTAACCCAGTGATGCGCTGTCGTGGGAATAAAGTCGCGCATGCGCACTAAGCAAGCGCTACGTATCCTCACTAATGTATATAGTTCAATCAAATATGAGGTATCGTTAGGTACCCCCAGCCAGAAAAAAATATGAAGGAATTTGCAAGGAATGTTTCTATCAAAGAATCTTGCAAAGAATGTTTCTATTAAAGATAATACGACACACTACACGCGTTATCACTTCATTACTAGAAAGACGCGGGAAAACTACGCGGAAACCCTTATACGCACCTAACGTTGCAGCTAGATACATCTGTAGTAACGCGTGACGTATAACTGTGACGTCACTTACGCATGCGCACGGAGATTCCCACATGGGAAAAAATCCCACGGCAGCGCATCACTGACCTAACCGCTCATCGAAGCTGCGTTCCGATATTCACTGCCAGTACTGAAAATCTATAGTGTACGTGATGTAAACTATAGATGTTCAATACTGGCAGTGAATATCGGAACGCAGCCCCAGTATAAAAAGATTTATGATTTATATTACTAAAACTTAGTCGATTATTATTAAAAGTTAAAAATGTATAAAAATAAGAAATTAAAGTGCATTAGTGTTATTTTATGAAGAAAATATTAATATTAATAGTGAAGTAATTAGTAAAAAATAAAAATTATCGGTATATTTCACAGAATGAGTCCCAGTTGCGCACAGAATAAATCGGACACAGCAGGTTGAATGAATCGGACACAGACTCAATCGGACACAATAAGAAACGGACACACGGCGGTTGGAATTGGATACAGTGACAATCGGACACAATACCAATCGGACACAGTGTCAATCGGACACAGTAGGAAACGGACACACCGTAGTTGCAATCGGACATAGTGCCGATCAGACACAGTAAGAAACTTAAGTTAGTTAGGTGAATTTCACTTCGTTTTGCAGAGTACATTTGTGGACACAATGGGTTCCGCCCCCCCTACGGGGGGGCTCCACTTCCGGAAGATATAACCTAACCCAAACCAAAGTGTCCGATCGACACTGTGTCCGATTGCAACCACTGTGTGTCCGTTTCCTACTGTGTCCGATTGACACTGTGTCCGATTGGTATTGTGTCCGATTGTCATTGTGTCCAATTCCAACCGCCGTGTGTCCGTTTCTTATTGTGTCCGATCGAATCTGTATCCGATTGCAACCACGATGTGTCCGTTTTCTACTGTGTCCGATTGACGCTGTGTCCGATTACAACCACCGTGTGTCCGTTTCCTACTGTGTCCGATTGACACTGTGTCCGACTGGTATTGTGTCCGATTGTCACTGTGTCCAATTCCAACCGCCGTGTGTCCGTTTCTTATTGTGTCCGATTGAGTCTGTGTCCGATTCATTCAACCCGCTGTGTCCGATTTATTCTGTGCGCAACTGGGACTTCCCCATTTCACACACCCAAAACTAAGAAGAGAAACAAAGACTCTGCTGTAAGCTACGAATGTGAATGTGAATGCCCTAAAAAGACATCGTAAATTTTATGGCCGATTATGAATTAAATTATAATATACAATGGCACAAGGAAAATCCAACGTATAGAAATTTTTTAAAATATGTAGTGAGGATGAAAAAAAAGCTGAATGTTCTCTTTGCGAATCTACGTCACAAAAGCAAATTATAAGAGGAAAACGCCTAAATTATTCTCTATAAAACCTTTATGGAATCATTTGAAAAGTAAACATCCGTTGGCAATGAAAACCTTAGATAGAGAAATAAATGACAATAAGGCAGTGTTGTTGTTCGGGCCGGGTTTTCTCGCGCATGCGTGGTAGATGGCAGCCGAAGCAGCGGTGTATATAAGAGGAGTAGTGTTTGGGCGCGAAAGTCTTGGCGGGCCCGGCAAGAAGGACAGGCTAGGTTAAGGTGAGTAGATAAGTATATTTATAAATAATGCATGCGCAAAGAAAAGGAGCAATTAAACGACCAAAAGTTAGAGACTTTCAAAATGCATGGCTGCATGAGGATAATTTTAAAGGATGGTTAGCTCCCCATCATGTAGAAAATAAAGCTTTTTGTATTGCATGTAATAAGACCATCAGATGTAAGACAGATTTAGTTCAACATTCGCAAACGGTCAAACATAATAAAAACATTAATAATAATAATAATAATAACACAGTTGATAACGTTGAAGATATATTATCATATAAAGATAAAGTCAAACGTGCAGAAATTAAATTAGCAGCATTTTTTGCCGAACATAATGTAGCTTTTTATACCGCAGATCATTTTATTCCATTATTGAAAGATATTTGTATAGATCCTAAAATTGTACAAGATATGTCACTGGGCCGATTAAAATGCGCAAATATTGTTAAAAATGTTATCGCTAAAAGAGAAAATAAAAAACTTATTATGAATTTACGAATTTGCAAATTTTCTATTTTAATTGATGAGAGTACCGATATATCAGATACGAAATTAATGTGTATCCTTGTTCGCTATGTTTCAATATTTTTATTTTTTGTATTTTTTGTAAGAATACTGGTGAGGTTTTTGGCAGTTTTCCTTACCCTTGCAACAAATGTTGGTATTCTCTGAGATTCTGCCAAAAATAAAATTTTATTTTTGTTTATATTAAAATGTTTTTTTAATTAATTATTTTATTACCCTTTCCTTTTTCAGTTTATTTATATTTTATTTATAATATATGTGTTTATTTTAATATTTAATATTTTTATAATAGATTTTTAACAATTATTAGATATTTTTGTGCGGGTGATTAATGGTACTTCTTTTTGGTCAACTAAGCACTGTACTGATACCGCGTTTGCACGCATGCGCGAAAAAACCCGGCCCGGACAACAATACTGCAATAAGGATGAAGATGATCCACCGACTTCTGGTCCTTCATCTACAACAATAACCTCAAAATCAGAACCTCATCAGACACAGCCTACTTTACAATCTGTCATTAAGAAAAAAGAAATGTGGTCTTTGGATGATCCAAGATCAATGAACATAACCAAAAAGATATGTATGTTTTATTTTTGTATTTATTTTACAGAATCACTATGTATTTCATTATGAATAAATAATAAATATTTATGCTAATTCGTAGTAACGTCAAATCAAAGCATAAGTATCGTAAGCATTGTCAAATAAAAATTATCTTTAGTATTCTTCTTGAGAAACAAAGATTTGTATTATTATTATTATAATGCGAACACATTCGTTTAATGAAAAAAATCGTTATTGTTACTTTGCTTTGATTGTAACTTAACAATGCTTTTACTTGCAGTACAAATCCGTCTTACATTTTTCAACTATTTATTTTTGTTATATTTTAGGTGAAATGATAGCTCTTGATGCTGAAGCATTCGTATTAGTTGAGCGAAAAGGATTTTAAAGATTAATGAAGTGTTTGGCACCGCAGTATCCCCTACCTTGCAGAACGTATTTTTCTGAAAAAATTATGCCACAGCTGTATGAAAAATTGAAAACACGTATTCGTGAAAAATTAACTACTGCAATAAATATATCGTTTTCCACCGATATCCGGACTTGTTCAGCAAACAATGAGGCATTCATAAGTCTGACAGCTTATTTCGTACGAAGTGATGATATGCGGAGAGAAACATATGTTCTCAATGCGAAACATTTTCCCGGTAGCCATACTGGCGTCAATATCGGTCAGATATTAAATGATGTAATGGAAGAATGGCACATAAGCTCTAGTCAAATTCACTTAATTTTAAGGGATAATGCCCCTAATATGATTGTCGGAACTAGTATGTACTTTAAAAGTTTTAAATGAGTTTACATTGAAGAATATACTTCTTTTAAGCAATTGATATACCCTTGATTTGAAATTGTCGGTATTACATTAATTATGTCATGTATCTTATAGGTATATTAGGAGAGAATGTAGGATGTTTTATTTACACTGTACAACTCGTGATGCACGATTGCATTTTTAAAAATCGAAATTTCGTTGAAATTTTGGGAAAACGTCGAAAAATTGGACATTTTAGCCATTCTTCACTCGCTTGCTCGAAACTCAGTAGCATCCAAGAAAATTTGAAGTTGCCAATTCATAAATTAATCCAGGATGTTACAACACGATGGAACTCCACATTTTATATGTTGTCAAGACTTCATGAACAACGACAAGCAGTAACTGCATATGCTGCGGAAAGAGATATACCAATCCTTACAGATTTGCAATGGAGTATGGTAGAAAACGTTATACGTGTTCTTCAACCATTTGAGGAAATTACTAAAATAACAAGTTCTGATTGCGAGACAATTGGATACGTTATTCCGGCAATTGTTACTCTATATTCGTATCTTTCAAAATGACAAAAGGATGCTGGAATAATTGAAGGAACAGCTCAAGAAAGCGATAGAAGAACGATTTTTTGATTCTTTAGGTATTGTTGTATCGTTCATTACTTGAATAAATTTACAATGTTATTTTTTTCTTTAAAATGGTCAAGTTCTCGGAAGCTGAGTAAGCAGCTGACGAGACGGACTGACAAGCGGAGCACGAGACATGCTCCGATCAGGGTCACCACACTCCTCCCTAATCAACGACCTAATTAATTAATATATATTGAGCGCGAGATGTACCGACGCTAGCTCAGTAACATAGCTCATTAACATCGCTCGTTCATTCGCTCGCTCAGTAATATAATTGCACAGTATCGAAATATCGTACGTATCGCGCCCGACTATTATAATCGCGAATAAGTGAAAGTGTACTAAATCTTGCAAAATATACTAATTTATACTTAACGTCTAGGAGTGTCTTATTATGAGCGTGGATCTTAATCCTTTGGGTGTACAAATCCCTAAAGACCTCTTCCTTAGCGGCTAGAGGCACAACAAATGATTTCATTTATTGTTATGTAGGATTCAATATGAAGGATCGAAAATGTTTTGTACTGGCCACCGTATTTGATCCAAGATTCAAAACTAAGTTTTTGTCAGACGAAAGTAAGGCCAAACGGTGGATCATTGATGAATTGCTTGAAACGAATAATAGAGCCACCGAAGATTATGAAAACAATACACACAGTCAAGTCAGCCTTCTTCAAAAACAAGATATGATCAGTGAAACACACGACGACATCTGAAAAGTGCTTCGATGACATAGTAAACAATTCAAAATCAGATAACGATAATAGCAGTTTTGAGGATTCATCAAGCAAGATATCGTTTACAAGACAACCGAGTGATCGAAGTAAAATGAAAACTGCAGTTTACAATGCCAAATTAACGAAATATTTGACGTTATCTCTGTCATCGAGAAATGAAGATCCCTTAATATGGCGGAAAACTCATGTTTTAGAATACCCTAACCTTAAAATTTTGGTTTTGAAATATTTGAGTGCTCCACCTTTTTCTGTGCATTCAGAAAGACTTTTCAGCGCAGGAAAATTGGTTTATTCCGATAACCGAAATAGATTGTCACCGCAAAACGCTGAAATGTTAGTTTATTATGAAAAATTTGCTAATATTAAACTATGATTATTGAGTAATGTTGAAATTAGAAATTAGTATAGAAAAAATAACTTAGACAATAAATAAATCTTACTTTTCGTAGTTTTTATTATGTCATTCAACGATGCAAATCTTTCAACAGTAACATTTATAATTTTCATCCAAATATTTTTTTCATAGAAATTAATACTGGATATCCGATAAATGTCCAGAATCCGGCCGGAAAATTAAGATCCCGGATATCCGGTATCCGGTTTCATGCTATTACCGGATATCCGATATCCGGTATCCGGCAATTTCACTATTCGGCACATCCCTAGTTTTTGAAATGTTGCGCACAGTAACATTTCTCATGAAATATTAAATAAATAACAATTTTGGATATATGAAAATGTGCGCCTCAAATTCAATTATTAATATTAAACGAAATTAATGTTAACAATTAATTGCATCAGAAGCGTTGTTCCTCAATTTCCTTGATGGGTTATGAAAATTT